AAAATTTGCAAGGATGGTTCAGAACATGGCTCTCCAGTCAGAACATATGGGGGTTGTGTTCTTTGGTCAGAACATAACTTCTCAGCATATGGAGGTTACGTTCCACGCTTCAATCAGAACATATGGAGGCTTTGTTCTTTGATCAGAACATGACTCCTCAGAGTTTCATTCTTCAGCACATAAAGGCTATGTTTTGCTTTCCATTCAGAACATCATCAAGCCCCAAAACCTTGTTCCACCCAATCCGGTGTGCTATTATGATACAGCCTTGCCACCAGCTTCCACAACACTCCAAGGTGCTGCTGATCCAGTCTACGCCTGCGTTTTTCTCAAACCCTATAATTGCACCAAATTAGCATACCAAAACTGTGATTAAAAAAGCAAAGGAACGGTATTCCAAAAGTGTTTAAAACTCATTTGTTTTCCCCCCAAAACCACAACAAATCCATCTATAAATAGTTTGTTCCATCACACGTTCAAGGGGCTGACTTTTAAAGAGAGGATTATCAAATACACGGAAAAAAAAAGAGAGAAAAAAAGAAACACTCAGACACTCATAAAATTAGAATTTTCAAAATCAAAAATCTTTGTTTTTCCCTTTGAAACAAACAACTTAACATTGTTGTTTCCTGTTCGTGCAAACCCCGGAACATTCAAAGGCAGTAGCTCAAATCCTAAACCCACACTTCAGGTTCAAGGTAAGTCATTCTAACTTTGAAACTATCATTCAGAACATCATTTAACATGTAAATACTATGATGTTGATGCTTGCCATATCATTGCATAAGTAGAAAAAACTGTGGATCAGAACTTGAGTTCTACTCACTGTTTTAACACATACAGAACTTGAGTTCTACTCACTGTTTTAACACATATAAAACTTCTGAAATTTCCTCACTGTTTTAACACATACAGAACTTCTGAAATTTCCTCACTGTTTTAACACATACAGAACTTCTGAAATTTCCTCACTGTTTTAACACATACAGAACTTGAGTTCTACTCACTGTTTTAACACATACAAAACTTCTGAGTTCTACTCACTTTTTAACACATACAGAACTTTTGAAATTTCCTCACTGTTTTAACACATACAGAACTTCTGGAATTTCCTCATTGTTTTAACACATACAGAACTTCTGAAATTTCCTCACTGTTAACACGCACAAAACTTCTGAATTTTTCTCATTATACTAACATTCAGAACTTCAGCATGTAGCGACCCAGAACTTCTTCTTTTTTCTGCCCTATAAGGTTTCTTTCAGGATTCCACTGGTATCAACCCAGAATTTCTGATCACCTCTGACGTTTTATTCTGGACCACAGCGCGCCAGACTTCAGAACTTATGATCCTATTTCTCTTTATCTTTCCTTTTTTCTCTTTTATTTTATTATTAGTACTATTTATATTTTTTTATAAAAAGACATAAAAAAAACATTTTCTTTCGTTAACTAATTATTTTTTTTCTTTTAGTTTATTAAAACAGAAAAAAAAACCTTTTTCAAAACAAAAACAAAACAAATCTTTTCTTTTATTTATTGCATTGTAAATTTTGATATGGTTGTAATAGTTAAATAGGATTTAAGTTCTTACCCCTCCCCATGTTCTACTTAGCACCACGCTTTCTCTCTTTATTTATTCATTTGTTTTTTACTTTATTACTTCAGAATTTTCTTAACTCTTTTTTTTGGTTTTTTTGTTGTTTTTTTTGTTTTAGTTTTAAAAAACTAAATAATCACATTTTTGATTAATCAGATAATTCTTATTAATTAGCTTAAATTTAATTTGATAATTTTGTTTATCTCAATATGTGATTTATTTTAATTAACATCTTTTGTTATTTTGCTTAGTTATAAAAATCACAAAAATATATATTAGAATATTTTAGAATTAGATTCTAGCTTACTTTTTAGTTCATAATTTATTTAAGATTTGATTTATGAAGCCATAAAAATATTTATAATTTAAGTTTCCTTATTTGTTCAAACCTTGAAATCATATCTTAGGTAGCTCCATGAGGCGATTAAACCCCGTTTGATCGCCTTATGTCGAAATAGACTTTTAGTCCACGTGTACATAACATACAATTAGATTTTTAGTTTCCCTCTTAACCTTTTTCTTTTGTAATTAAAACTCAACTGTCACTAATCAAAAATCTAAAAACACTTTTAATCATTACTTGAATTTATTTTAAAACTCGCAAAATACTCAACTAATCAAAGCTTCCCCCAAAGGGCATGTTATCTCCGTTCTACCGCGATACCAGTTGTGCCTATTTCTAGAATGTGCGCGTTAACGTCGCCCACTAAAAAACAGAAACAAACATACCCTTTTCTAGAGGAACTATGGTGTTCTGATTCCTTTATTGGATACGTAGGCAAAGGGTCGCGAAACCCTCACGAACACAATAATAAAAAACCATTCATTTCCCCTTAAGCAAGCATAGTTGTAGATAAACACACCCTTTAAGACAAGCAAACAAAATGGATCCCGTTGGGTACAACGGATGTGAGGGGTGCTAATACTTTCCCCTCGCATAACCGACTCCCTTACCCTTTATTTTGGTTGCAAGACCATCTTATCCATTCCCTTGTAGTTTTATCGATATTTCCCCTTCCTTCAAGATAAATAAAGTTCGGTGGCGGCTCTATGTTTTATGCCGGTAGCTTCAGGGTTCAGAAGAAGATTTGAAAGAAGTCAAGATTGGAGCATTGCTGCATCCTGATGTGAAGAGCAGGTTGATTGAGTTGTTGAAAGAGTATGCAGATATCTTTGCTTGGTCTTATCAATATATGCTTGGTCTAAATAAAAATATTGTAGAGCACAATTTGCCGTTGAAGCCAGAGTGTCCACCAATCAAGCAGAAGTTGAGAAGAACTCACCCAGATATGACAATAAAGATCAAAGAAGAGGTTCTAAAGCAGATTAATGTCGGTTTTCTTGTGACGTCAGTGTATCCTCAATGGATTTCCAATATTGTCACAGTACCAAATAAAGATGGAAAAGTCCGCATGTGCGTAGATTACAGAGAACTAAATAAAGCTAGTCTAAACGATGATTTTCCATTGCCACACATTGACATGTTAGTGGATAACACATCAAAATTCAAAGTATTCTCGTTCATAGATGGATTTTCCGGGTATAATCAAATAAGAATGACTCTAGAGGGCATGGAAAAAACAACATTTATCACACCCTAGGGAACATTCTATTACAGAGTGATGCCCTTCGGGTTGAAGAACGCTGATGCAACGTACCAGAGGGCTATGACTACCATATTCCATGATCTGATGCACAAGGAAATCGAAGTATATGTTGATGATATAATTGCTAAATCCCAGACTGAAGAAGGGCATGTAGATTTGTTGAAGTTGTTTCAGCGTTTCAGGAAGTATCGTCTCCGCTTGAATCCAAATAAATGTACCTTCGGTGTTCGATCAGGGAAATTGTTGGGTTTCATTGTTAGACAGAAAGGAATTGAAGTTGACCCTGATAAAGTCAAAGCAATTCAAGAGATGCCAGCGCCGAGAACTAAAAAGAAAGTCAGAGGGTTCCTCGGGCCTTTGAATTATAGTTCCAGATTCATTTCCCACATGACTGCAACATGTGAACCAATCTTTAAGTTGTTAAAGAAAGATCAAGGTTGTGTGTGGACGGATGACTGCCAAAGGGAATTTGAAAGTATTAAAGAATATATTCTTAAACCTCCTATCTTGCTCCCTCCTATTGAAGGAAGACCATTGATTATGTATCTGACAGTGTTACATTACGCCAAAAATAAGTTTTAGCAGCACATAAAAGAAAGCGCTTTTGGAAAAAAGCGCTGCTGTAGGTTTTAAAAAAAAAATCGCTTAAAAAAGCGCTTTCAAAGGGTGCCTTAAGAAAGCGCTTTCAAAGGGTGCCTTAAGAAAGCGCTTTTCAAAAGCGCTTCTAAAGGTCACCCTTAGAAAGCGCTTTTTGGAAAGCGCTGCTAAAGCTGGCCTTTCAGAGGGTACCTTAAGAAAGCTCTTTTCAAAAGCGCTGCTAAAGATCAGCCTTAGAAAGCGCTTTTCCAAAGCGCTGCTAAAGCTGGCCTTTAGAAAGCGCTGCTATAGGATATGCTACGATGATGTAAAAGCGCTGTTATAGATGACCTTTAGAAAGCGTTTTTAAAAGCGCTTTCGTAGGTAGTTTTATAATAAATATCAAAACACAATTCGTATCACTTTTCTATTCTCAGTCAAATTTTCTTCACGAAAAAACCCTAAACCAGAGCTTCTACGACGGTCAACGGCGCTCCACTTCTCTGGTCAACTGCAATTCGTATCAGGTTTGATTTTTTTCCTCATCTCATATGTGTTTGTCTGGTTTTCGTGTGCTTTTGTTTGGTTAATGATTTTGAGCAAACATGGTTTCTACTGTCATAGAAGTTATTAAGAAGTTGTGCATAGAAGTAACATGCTAAGAGAGAAATAATGGAGAGTAACATGCTAAGAGAGAAATAATGGAGAGTGTCTTTGTTTACGAATACAGACACCGCCTTCCAAAAATAGAAGTTCATTGTCCTCCTTATTCTCACGCGTGACTTAATTGGTGCCGGTTTGCCAAAAATAAGGAAAAACAAAATTGTGTCTGAAAATTCAACTCATATTTGTTTCCTTGTTTTTCTCAAAACGACACTGATACAATCACCGTCTAAGGCGTAAGGAGGAGGACCATAATCATAAACTTATGCTGCTGAGAGGCTTTGCCGACCCCAGCGGCAACCGTCATTAGAGTTTCAAATTATTTTAAAATAGTGATCCACTATGGAGAACCTGCCTTGATTCTTAGTCAATATGAAATTTTGTGATTTAACAATGAGGAAATTTTTTTGTTATTGAATAAACCATTAATTCAGTCCCTAAACTATCACCCTCTCTCCAATTTATTTCATAAATTATATGAATATAATAGTCTCAAAAGCATATGAAATGTAGTTCAACAGAAACTTCCTTTCCCAAGAGAAATCCTTCTAAACATGATTATGTGGAAATTTACATACGCAGAATCAAAAAAGAAAGAAGGGCTAGATTGGAAACGTAGATTTGACATAATCAATGGAGTGGCAAGAGGTTTACTTTATCTTCATGAAGACTCTCACAACTGCATAATCCATCGTGACATAAAAGCAGCCAACATTTTACTTGATGAAAAATGGGTCCCTAAGATTGCTGACTTTGGCTTGGCTCGTCTCTTTCCAGAAGATGAAACTCATGTCAATACACGTATGGCTGGAACACAGTAAATTTTACTCTTTCTTCTTTTCATTTTTTCAACAAAATGCATTTATTCATATCCATTCATTATAGTCCAAGTCAATGTCAGTGCATTTTCCATCATAGTCCAAGTCATTATAACTCAATGTCAATGCATCTTACAAACAAAACATCTGATATTTATCTATCAATAGTTTAATTAAACATGTTACAACTTGCCAGGTATTTTTCAAGTGGTGCATATTACAATCACGTCCATGAAACATTAAATCATATACTATGAAATAGTTTTGCATAGAAATGGAGTTCAAAACTGAAAATTTGAGAAGTAGATCATAACTCTTTTATGAACTAGTATTATATAATATATATTGGATTTTGATAAAATTAATTTATGAAAATAGTTTCTTACTAATGTTATAAAAACCCGATAAATATGCAGTGGATACATGGCTCCAGAGTATTTGATGCATGAACACTTATCTGTGAAGGTAGATGTGTATAGCTATGGAGTATAGTCACACATAATTGTAAGTAAATATAAACTCTATGATCTTATTAATTCTCTCAATGTGTTATAATTGATGATCTTAAGACTTGTGTCAATGTGTAGTTAAAAGAGACGAAAAGTGACGCAACATCACTACCAGCACATTTGTTGTGGAAGGAAGCTCGTGTGGGCAAGGATCAAGTTGTTAATCCCGATCTTCAACATGTGTATGATGAATGTGTAAGTATAAGATTGTGTCTTTAATTAAATCAAATTTTTATTAATATTTAAATATTTTTTTATCTCCACTAATAATTTTCGATATGTAAATGAATTACAGGAGACCTTGTCGCAATCGGTATCCCCAGGTGAGGATCAGGATACCAGGAGCGTACTTAGTCGAGCACTAAATATTGCTGAGTATCCGGGTCGGGTGAGGGGTAAAAGTCATGGTGTGACTCCAACCTCTTTGTATAAGCATCCAAGGAGAAGAAATCCTATCAATGCAGAAGTGATGCAAACATTGCAGGATTTACAAGCTCAAGTCCGTGAATTGCAGAAGGATAAAGAGAGAGATATGGCGGAAAAGAGTAGTTCACAGTTGAAAGAAACTAGTGACAAAGCTAGTATCAACTGTCCGCATAAATTTCCCGAGGTAATTTTCAATATATATATGTTATTATTATAGAATATTTTTAGTCACTTCTAACGGTTATTATTGGTTTAGGGCATTTCATCTTGCCAGCTATACCTATCGTCGTCGACTTATCGACTAGTTGGCAAGGGAAAAGTCCATAACATTTTGGGAGATTTACTTCACCATAGACCGCTTCCGGATGGACACATGAAAGTATCGGTTGATATTGCTTTAGATATGGATGCGTTGCTGCCGGTACCTGACATTGTTGCTGAGACCACATTGCTGCGAGATGCAATAGGATCTTTTGTTGCATGGCCATCGGACCTCATTTTCATAGATGATCAGGTATGTTGAAAACCATTATGAATCTTTAAGTCTTCAACTGTCAGTTCTGACCTCAGTTATTTTCACGGTAATTATAGACTCCTACAAAACCCGCATCTAAGGGTAAAGGGATTTTGCGGCATGAAGAGTCTGATGTATCACAAAAAGAGGTACGTTTAAAGTGTTAATTATATGATCCGAATAAAAAACTGCATAATTTTATAATTTAACTGAGTCTATATGATTTTTAGGTACCTTTTCAAGGGTCACAACAAGTGAGCCAGAAAATCGTTGGCGTACCACCCAAGAAAAGGGTTCCTACTAGATTTTTCCCTCGATACCGGCAGTGTCTTGAAACAATAGTGGGAACAACAGATTTGATGGATGGTGGTATTCGTCAAATGGATATGGATCAAGGTATCTTTGGTTTTCCTTGCACCGAAATAATTGGACATGAGGACGTGGAAGAGATTTTCCGTCATAAAGAATTAGGCGTCAGTATTATGCACGCATACATCCGGTAACCCCATCTTTATATTATGTAATTAGCTGAAAATTTTTTTAAACATTTCAATGAATATAGTCTAATATTAATTATGTTTTTATTTAAGGTTGTTATATGACAAATTGATGCGCGGGAATCAATTGTCAAACAAATTCCATTTCGTGTCTTCCTCCCGTGTCAGCGGAGCGACAATTGGTAGGGAACCAGATTCAGTAAGAGAGCACTTAGTCGAAAGATTCATGGCAACTGGCAGTACAGAAAGCTTACATCTTTGGCCGTATAATACTATTTCTACATGGTTAGATTTTCATTCTAAGTTCATTTTAATATTTGTAATTTTTGCGTAGAAAATTTTCTTCTAAACAGTTGTTTTAATTTATAGACGTCACTGGTTGTTGGTTGCTATCGATACTATAAAAGAAGTGGTCTATTATCTGAATTCGGTTGACGGTGATTGGACAAATTATCCAGATATGAAGTTAATGATTGATACGTAAGTGAGATTATTCTAAATATTTGTGTGTATTTATATATTTAATTATTTCTGTGACATTGTTCTAAATATATATTTTTATTTTGTTAGAGCGATACAAGTATTCCGGTGTCAAAGAGAAGCTCGAGTACGACGGTCTAAATCAAACAACATTAATTGGATCAAAGTGCAGGTATATTAATTTCCACTATTTTGCTTATAATATTTATGCTATTTGATAAAACAATACAACTATATATTCTTATTTGTTTTTCTATGTAGTGTCCTCAACAGCAAAACGGTATAGATTGCGGATACTTCGTTATGCGGTTTATCAAAGAAATCCTTCAACTAAATCAAATAGAGATTCCAGTCACGGTATGGATTTATAACTTAGGATTTGTTTTATTATTTCTCGGATATTTCATATAATTTTTTACTTTTAACTAAATCATGCATATTATGTTTTGTTATGTAGTACTTCGATGAATACAAATGTGCATATTACACGAAACTTCAGTTGGAAGAAATCAAAGAGGAATTGTGTCAATATTTTATTAAGCAGAGAATCATATAAGGTATGAATACATTATTATGTGAAAAGTGTTATGAATACATTACATGTGTACATGGAATACCATATTGACCGTGTTATTATGTTCAAACCTCGCAGGACCAGGATCTTAATACATAATTGACCGTATTTCTTTCATACATTAGGACTGGTTTAGTTGTTGTTAGGGTTGATTTTGTAAGACTGATTTTGAGTTACAATGCTGATAACAATGGTTTTTATATATTTTGAGGTACAAAAATGGTGTGTATATATTTTAGATTACAATGGTATACAATGCATTACCGCGGTTTATGAATTACAGGTTATGGCAACTGGTTTATATAAATAATATGCTGCAAACAATACAGGTATATGAATTATATAAATTATACCTCTAAAAAAACACCCTATGACAGCGCTTTTCCAGGCAAAAGCGCTGCTAAAAGACCACCTATGAAAGCGTTTTTCCAGAAAAAAGCGTTGCTAAAAGCCTACCTAAGACAACGCTTTTCCAGAAAAAAGCGTTGCTAAAAGAAAACTTATGAGAGCGCTTTTCCAGAAAAAAGAGCTGCCTTAGGTAGACCTATGAAAGCGCTTCTTCATAAAAAAGCCCTTCCAAAAGCCTACTTAAGAGAGCGCTTTTTAGAAAAGTGTTGTATTAGGTAGACTTACGAAAGCGATTTTCATTAAACAAAAAGCGCTGCTAAAACCTATAGCAGCGCCACCTTCGAAAGCGCTTTTAAGCGCTTTTAAAGGCCAAAAAAGCGCTTTCGTTAGTCTTTTTCAGCGTAGTGTTAGATAATTCCATGGGCTGTATTCTGGGACAATAAGATGAAACAGGGAAGAAAGAGTATGTCATTTATTATCTCAGCAAAAAGTTTACTGATTATGAGTCGTGGTAATCCATGCTGGAAAAGACATGTTGTGCTCTGGCCTGGGCGGCAAAACATTTGCGGCAGTATATGTTGAATCACACCACCTGGTTTATCTCTAAAATGGATCCAATCAAGTACATTTTTGAAAAGCCTGCTCTTACCAAGAGAATTTCCCGTTGGGAGATGTTGTTATCTGAATATGATATCGAATACCGCACTCAAAAAGCCATTAAAAGTAGCATGTTGGCAAATTATCTTGCTCACCAACCAATTGATGATTATCAGTCTGTGAAGCATGAATTTCTCAATGAGGATGTGATGTTTCTAAAAGTGAAAGATTGTGATGAACCATTTCCTGAGGAAGGTCCTGATCCTAAATCTCGTTGGAGTATGATATTTGATGGAGCTGTGAATGCTTATGGTAAAGGAATTGGTGTTGTGATTATCACTCCACATGGATCACACATTCCTTTCACTACAAGGTTAACATTTGATTGTACTAATAATATGGCAGAATATGAGGCTTGCATCATGGGTCTTGAGGAAGCTATAGATCTCAGAATTAAAATTCTAGATGGTTATGGTGATTCAGCTTTGGTAATAAATCAGATTAAAGGAGAATAGGATAATCTTCACCCCGACTTGATCCCTTACAAAGATTATGCTAGAAGGTTGTTACCCTTCTTCAATAAAGTTGAATTCCATCACATTCCTAGAGATGAAAATCAAATGGCGGATGCTCTGGAAACTCTGGCTTCTATGTATCAAGTAAATACTTGGAATGATATACCTCGAATTATGGTTTGGCGACTGGATAGGCCTGCTCATGTGTTTACAACAAAGGAGGTAGCAAATGAAAAACCTTTTTATTATGATATCAAGTATTTTCTTCAGACTCAGGAATACCTGATTGGTGCTTCGAATAAAGATAGAAAGAACTTGAGAAGATTGGATGGAAGTTTCTTCCTCAGTGAAAATGTGTTGTACAAGAGAAATTATGACATGGTCCTGCTCAGATGCGTGGATAGACACGAAGCAGACATGTTGATGCATGAGATTCATGAAGGTTCATTTGGCACTCATGTCAGCAGACATTCGATGGCTAAAAAGATGCTAAGGGCAGGTTACTATTGGCTGACAATGGAATTCGATTGTTACAAATTTGCA